AAGGCAGGGGAAACAGATTGAACACGTCTGCCAGGAGGGAAGAGATATGCGTTTGAGTGGTACACTGGGAAAGATGAAGAATAAGCTTAGAGGAAACTTTATTATATGCAGAAACTGAAAAGGAGAGAGCTGGAAATATAGGAAGAAACATGTCTATCCTAAGGCAAATATGAAAATGAGGATAATATAAAAAGAAGGAAATTTTCTTTCCCTGTCATACAAACAACATATATCTGTGAAGGTAGAAAAAGAGGTACTTTCCAGAATGGTAATATATTTATAAAAAATGAAAGGAAAGGATCTCAAAGGAAAGAAAATTTGTGGAAAAGTTAGTTAACATTAGTATGACAATTATTAGCTTCATTTATTTTCTACTTTAGGTATACTGTGAATAATGTAATTGACAACAACGTTTCCCATTTCTTTTTTTCTTTTCTTTTTTTTTTTTTTTCGGTTGTGAGGCTTGAACACTGGCCCTGGGCATTTTCCCTCATCTCTTTAGCTCAAGGTGAATGCTCTACCACTTGAGCCACAACTCCACTTCCAGTTTTCTGAGTGGTTTATTGGAGATAAGAGTCTCTTCTATGCCTCCATCAGAAGGAATAACATTGCCCCATTTGTTAGGAAAGACTTTGAAAAAAATTATCTTAACTGAAGTAAGCTAGGCCCAAAGAAACATAGGTCCCATGGTTTCCCTTATTTGCAATAACTAGTATATGTCTGGGACAAGTAGAAAAGGTCAAAAGCTATATGTGTGTGTGTATCATACACACACGTGCACATGTGTGCATGTGTGTATGATACACACACACACAAATACACACATATATATGATCAGACACACTGAAGTTAAGCAAAATGAACCCCAAGATAGGGACACAAGTGTTTTTTTCTTTGTGCTATTGTTTCTAATGTATTTATATGGTACTATGTGATTTTTGTTGCTTTGTATGTCCCTCCCCCGTGGTATAACTCTGTTTTCACTGTATTTGATGTTGGTTTAATTTGGGGAGGGGGAAGGGAAAAAACAAAATGTTTAAATAGGGATACAGATTGACCCATTGAAACAATGAGAAGTACAAGACACTATGTTGAAAACTTTACAATTTAAGAATGGGGATGGAGTGTAGTTATGGAGGTAGGAAGGAAGGGATGGTAGGGAAAAAACAAAGGAGGCAGCAATTCTTGAGAGGAAATGTACTCACTACGTTGCTCATGTAACTGTACCCCCTCTGTGCAGTATTTTCACAATAAAAAATTATTTTTTAAAAAAAGAGTCCCACAGACTTTCCTGCCCAGGATAGCTTTGAACCATGATCCTCAGATCTCAACCTCTTGAGTAGGTAGGATTACAGGCTTGAGCCCCAGCTCCCGGCTACAGTTTCCCATTTCTTTCTTACGCTAGAAAACCTGAAGCCAAATTTGTGACCTAGATGACGTATAGTATTGATCAATGTGGAAAACACTTTTAGCCTTATTAGTCACAGTAACATCATTCTTCTTGCCATCTTAGCTTACCACAGTTTAACTTACATTGCATGATCATATTTTGACACTTGGATTTTGTTCAGCAAAATTCATACACTACACACATTTATACTTATTTCCTTAACATTATATATGTGTCTTAACGGAACAGTTAATATAAGCTGAAGAGAGGAGAGATTATTTCAAGAAAAAAAAAAACTGTAATACGAACATGAACAATGTGTGAAAGGAGCATGTAGAACAGGAAAGAGAGTGTAAGCAACAGCGTTGGCAGCCTGTTGGGCTCCAATGATCCTTGCCTGTAGCTAGTACATTAAAAAGGCACCTCCATATCTAAGTCTTCTTTGAGAAGAGGTTTTGTGAAATTCTCTACCGAGAATGGCTTTAAACCAAAACCTTATCAATTTCAGTCTCCCAAGTAGCTAGAATTATAGGCATAAGCCACCACTTATAAGTGAGTTTGAAAGAAAGTTGGTGATTTCCTTACTAAGCATCATGAATTAGTTTCAATGAAAAATTTAGGTAGAATTTTGAAGGGCACAATTAGACAGAAAGAGAAAAGGAAGACTGATGCTCATTTGGTGATTCTTGCATCTGCAGGACTAAATAATTTCTCAAAAAGAAATAAAGCTGTAAGAACATTGAAAATACTGAAATAATAGAAGGAAAACTTGAAGATGACGCCATTTCTAGGAATGAGAGGAAATAACAAGTGACCAAAGACAAATTTATGGATTAAGGGGAAAAAAACCAAGGAAGTCAGGGATGAAACAGTTATCATTAGAAAATTCTCAGCTAAAGAGACGCTTTTTGTATTGTAAAGATACTGTACAGAGGAGTTACAGTTACATGAACAAGGTAATGAGTACATTTCCTATCAAGCATTGTTACCTCCTCCTTTGTTTTTCCCCTACTATCCCTTTCCTCCTCATCTCCCCAACTCCTCCCTGTCCCCACCAAAGTTGGAAAGTTGTTTTCAACAGTGTCTTATACATCTCATTGTCACAGTGGGTCAACCTGTATTATTTAAGCATTTTGTTATTTCCCTTCCCCTTCCCAAATTAGAAAAATGTATAAACAAGATGCAGGGCACTGGAATCAAATACAGTGAAAACAGGGGTTATACCATGGGGGAAGAACATACAAAAGAAACAAATCACATGGTACATTATAAATACATTTAAAAAATAGCAAGAAATATAGAAACCTCTTGTGTCCCTAACTTGTTCATTTCGCTTAGCACCATCTTGTATGGTTATATGGACATAGCTTTTGACCTTTCTGCTTGTCCTAGACATATACTAGTTATTGCAAATAAGGGAAACCATGGGACCTATGTTTCTTTGGGCCTGGCTTACTTCACTTAATATATAGATATATATTCCCAAATCTTTCCATTTCCTAACAAATTGGTGGTGCCATTTTTCTGATGGAGGCATACAAAATGTGATATATATATTTTTTTTTCTTGGTGCATTCATCTACTGAGGGACATGTGGCTTGTTTCAATATCTTAGTTATGGAGACTCTTATCCCCAATTAACCACCAGAAAACCAGAAGTGGTGCTGTTGGTCAGGTGGTAGAGTGCTAATCTTGAGCTGAAGAGCTCAGGAACAGCACCCAGGCCCAGAGTTCAAGTCCCACAACTAACAAAATAAATAAGAAAACAAAAATGAAAATTCACAGTTAAGGTTCAGGTTTATGTTATCAGCAGGAAGTCAGAATATAGATGGAAATTTTAGAAAGATTTGAATATTTTATTGTTCCAATGGTAGTAAAGAGTAAAGGAATGATGGTCAATATCTGAACTTATCTCAAGAAATAGGAAGTTGAATGCAGAAGTTCATACCCATCACTCTAGAGCACTTCTGGTCCTATATTACAGGACTATCACACAAGGCGCCACTTTTAAATGCTTTGAAATTCACTCATCTTCTTCATTCATTCATGCCTGCCTTTCCTCTCAACTTCCCATCTCAGTAACTGATTCTTTTTTCAAGAATTGTTCAGATCAAACATTTCATTAATATCCATTTTTTTCCTCACCACTTCTTACAGTCAACATCCCATTACCAAGTGAAGCTCACTTATTCTTCTTTCAAATGATACGTTGGTGTGCTCCTTCCTCACCATTAATACAGATCCAAGTCACCATCATGTCTGTGACTGCCTGTAGAGTGGTCTTTCTACCTCCATTCCTATCTCATTGCACTGTTTGATTGTTGATTCATGCTTTCAACATAAAATATCTGTTTTTACTTCACCACTTCTGAGAATTTTTAACTTAGAAAATCCTGCTGTTAGTGAAAACTTCTACCACTTACTGCTTTAAAGTAGTTGTTGGCAGTCAATCATTTGTGAGAAACTAAAAGTAACCCAAAAATTCTTTAGCTAAATGTGGGTTTGGTATAGTAAAAATCACTTGAATTTATAACAGAACCATTCACTAGGTTTATATATTTTCTTCTTTATTGATTGGGAAGTAGGACAAAGGATATTTTTTATAAGTTTTTTTATTGTGAAAATACTGTACAGAGGGGTTACAGTTATATGAGCAAGGTAATGAGTACATTTCTTATCCAGCATTGTTGCCTCCTCCTTTGCTTTTCCCCTACCATCCCACCTCCTCAACTACACCCCCACCCCCACTTCCCACCCCCAACCCCGCCTGAATTGTAAAGTTCGTTTTTCGACATAGCGTCTTGTACATCTCATTGTTGCAATGGGTCAATCTGTATCCCTATTTAAACATTTTTTCCCTTCCCCCCTCCAAATTATACCAACATCAAATACAGTGAAAACAGAGGTTATACCCTAGGGGACAGACATAGAAAGCAACAAAACTCACATGGTACCTTATAAATAGGTTAGAAACAATAGCAAGGAATTAAAAACCACTTGTGTCCCTTTCTTGGGGTTCATTTTGCTTAACATCATCTTATTTGAGCTTTTCTGCTTGTCCCAGACATATACTAGTTATTGCAAATAAGGGAAACCAATGATCACAAACAAGACCATACTAATGCTACCAGCACAAGTATGTTTATTGCAGCATTATTTACCATAGTTAAGATATGGAACCAACCCAGATGCCCCTCAGTAGATGAACTGATCAAGAAAATATGATCTATATAAAAATGGAATTCTATGCCTCCATTCAGAAAGAATGACATTGCCTCATTTGTTAAGAAATGGAATGATTTGGAGGAAATTATATTTAGCAAAGTAAGCCAGGCCCAAAGAAACATAGGACAAAGGATTTTTGAATCCAATTTTACTAGAGGTTCAGGAGACCAGAAGATTCTAAGAGGACAAGGGATGAGCAATTAGAATGTGTTCGGTTAAAGAAGGAAGAGACTAACAAGAGAATAGGAGACAAACTACTAGATGATAAATATTAAGAAGTGATGGAAACCAATTTTTTCCCACTTATAATATAAAAAATGAACTGTAGTGTTTGGTATGATTTATTAACCCTGAGCTAAAGTGTTTGCTGTAATTCACCTCTTAGATCCAAGATTCATCAGTGCCCACCTCATTCCTGAGAGTGACAACCCTGAAGATGACAAAGTTTATTTTTTCTTCCGTGAAAATGCAATTGATGGAGAACATTCTGGAAAAGCTACTCATGCTAGAGTAGGTCAGATATGCAAGGTGAGCTAAAGAGAGGAAAACTTGTGTGATGTTGTCCAAATTTTATTTACTTTCGCTTTCCACGTAGGCACCATTTCAATGGAAAATATACCTGAAATGGATGAAAACATATCATAACAAGTACTTAAATGTTTAAAAGTAATTAAAAATACATCACCATAGCTTTTAAATAGGTCTTCAAAGTCGAATTCCCATGTAGAGTTGGTGTGATAATGCGTGTTATTTAATTACTTTAGAATGACACATTGATTTTGTCCAAATGATATTCTAGCATGTAAAAAAAAACTTTTTCCTGGTTATAAAGATATAAAATACCATTAGGTAGTCTATATCATTTGCTATTTTCAGATTTAGTATAATTCCTACATCTAGTCGATTTTAGATGAATACTCATTGAAATATTAATTTAATATTAAGAGAGAGAAAATTACAGGTTTTTTTACAAGTTAACTGCGCTAGTCTGTATACTTGTGTGTATTCATACATAGACAAACAAACATAAAATTTTAAACCGTAGAGCTTTATCCTTCTGAGGTAATTCAATTGAGTAACAAGGCATCAGGATTATTTTTTTTTCATCAGAATTATTTTTGCATTAGATACCTAAACTAAATACCTAGAATAAAACTTTCTCCAGACATACTTAAGGATGAATCAATATTATCAATGAGAACAGATGCTGGAAGTGCTACCTCATTCTTTGCAGTACAAAGAGTGGCAATATCCACACTGGGAATAAAATAAACTAGGAAGGTTTAGTAGATCATCTTTCAACTAATAAAAATCATAAAGCCAGCTCCATTAAAATATGATGTTGTCCTTATTTAATATCCTTTTTTTATAAATCTGTATTTATGGTGACTTCTTTCCTGACCAATCATGATCCAGCTATCTCTAGGCTTTTCAAATTTGTTGATAATATATAATCGCTAGGTAAGGAATGAGAGCCTTTTCCTCAAAAACTTTCAAACATTTAAAAAGTATTATTTACAGAGGTTAAACAGATTCATAATATAGAAGAAATTGGGTAAGTAAAATATAAATCAGCATTCTATTTGTGAAGGACATATGTTTCTACATGCACATAAATACCATTTTAAAGACAATAATTGCTAGTAAACATGTACCTTGGTAATAGAATTTATTGCTACCATTAAACTAAAATTAAGTTTTATTTGCAGTGAGTAGAGACACTGTCAAAATATTTTCTCTGGAATGAGGTTCCTTTATGAAGGTTTGTGCAAATATTTTCCTAACATGCTATTTGTAAAGTATAAATTGCTTCAACACTTTAAGCTTTAAAATTATTTGATGCCAAGATGCTTTATTGAGAGGATATATTTTCAGAATATAAAGCATACCTTTACTATCCACTCAATAAATACTAAATGCCTATTGCATTACAAATACTGTGAGCCAGGCTGCATAGGTTGGTTAAGATTTCATAAAATGACTAGCAAGTAGGAAAGAGGGAAGAGAAAAACCAAACCAACACAGCAGCAACAGTTGCTCATCAAAACATAGTAATAGAATGAAAAAGGAAATGAATTCTAATTCTTTCATTACAATAAAAATTGCACGTATTTTTCATGTGCATGCTACTTTAAATTATGTACAGATTGTGGTATGGCTAACTGAAGCAAATTAAGATATGTATTACCTCACATAGTTATTATGATCCTTTGTGGTAAGAATACTTAAATTCTACTCTTGGCAATTTTAAATAACATAACCAACTATTATGAACTATAGTCACTATGTTCTATAATAGATCTCTGGTTTCCTCTCCTGCCAGAATGACTTTGGAGGACACAGGAGCCTGGTGAATAAATGGACTACCTTTCTCAAAGCCAGGCTCGTTTGCTCTGTGCCAGGTCCCAATGGCATTGACACCCACTTTGATGAACTACGTAAGTAGCTGGTGGTTTTTCCACAGGACTTTGTGCAGACTTTGCCACAACTACAGCAAACTCAATTCTCCCTAATTTTGTTTTCAAACAGAGGATGTATTCCTAATGAACTCTAAAGATCCCAAAAATCCAATTGTCTATGCAGTGTTTACAACATCAAGGTAAAGACCTTTCACTACTATGTTCATGAAACTGCATTTATTTACTTGTTTTCCAAGTATCTGAAATTTGTGAAAATGAAATCCTGTAAAGAATGCTGCTTTAATCATCTTTGAACTATCATACACACTTGGGTGGTTAAAGTCAGTTATTAGGAAATGTTTGTCTCATTTTTTTTCATTTTCCCCCTACTTTAAGCCCCTTATACTAATATAAATCCTTGTTAAAACTTTCCAAACAAAGGAACATACAAAGAAATTATTTCAGGGAAGAATGTCATCAATCTAACAAGAAAGAAAGATGAAGCAGTTTAGAAAGAATATGCCATATTCTATGCATGGTTACAGTTTAAATATTTGAGTTAAGTATAGAATTTCATAAAAATTGATATCTACATTTGTACAAGTTTGTCCTGACATGACTACAGAAATTAAGTGGGGTGACTTAATTTAGAATGGATATATATAATACACATATTTTATAATTATAAATAATGTGCACATGCACAATTAAAATGCCTTGTCATATATTTTTTCTTAATTACATGTTATTACAACAAGCAAAATAACAATATGTATATACACATATAATTGAAAGTTTCCTGTCTTCATCTCTTCATTACTTACATCAATATCTAAATGGAAGAGATGAAAGTTAAGTGAGATGTTCTTAGACACTAACAATGTCGCTGAGAAGCAAGTCCTCTTTCAAACCTAATGGTTTGCATGAGTACCCGCGGAGAGAGTAGATAGGGAAACATCAGAGCAACTTCTGGCCCTTTCTATTCATTGTGCTCCACTTTCCATAGAGTCAGACACATTTTCCTGCATTGAAAAGACTATAGAATTGCTGTACACACTTTTAGGCTTACTACAAGTAAAATGATCTCAAGTGAAACTAATACAAATGACTATATTTTAAATATTTAGTTGTTTTTTGTGTTTTTTTTTAAATTTCTGTTTTTGTCAGTCATGGGGCTTGAACTGAGGGCATAGGCACTGTCCCTGAGCTCTTTTGTTCAAGGCTAACACTCTGCGACTTTGAGCTACACCACTTCCAGTTTTCTGGTGGTTAATAGGAGATAAGAGTCTCATAGACTTTCCTTCCAGAGGTGGTTTTGAACCATGATCTTCAGATCTCAGCCTCTCGAGTAGCAATAATTACATGCATGGACTACTCTCCTGGCTATATAGCTTTTAAAGTTGGTAAATAGACTCTCTTTATAAATCCAATTATTCTCTTTTTTGAGCCACAACTTAGCTTTTACTGGTCACCTTGTAATGCAGATGTTATCGTATAAAAAGAATGCATGTTGGGTGCCCGTGACTCATGCCTGTAATTCAAGCTACTCTGCAGGCTGAGATCTGAGACAGGAAACCGTAAGTGGTGCTGTGGCCCAAGGTGGTAGAGTACTAGCCTGCTCAAAAGAGCTCAGAGACAGTGCCCAGGAGTTGAGATCAAGCCCCACGAACACCACCACCAACAACAACAACAAAATCTCATAAAACCAAGTAACACAAATTTGAGCATTAAGTTTATATAGTTTTTACAATGTATTGTTTAATACACAGACTTCATTTCTTCCTCCTCCTGCTCTATTCATCCTGCTGTTCATCTCTCTCTCCTCCTTCCATCCCCTCTTTCCTTTTTATCAGCCTGCTCTTCTTCTTCCCAAGATTTTTTCCTGTTTATCTCTTCACCATTATATATATATATATGTGTGTGTGTTTTATATTGAAAAAATACTATACAGAGGGCTTACAATTGCATGAGTAAGGTAATGAGTACATTTCCTATCAAGCATTGTTACATCCTCCTTTGTTTCTCCCCTACCATCCCTTCCCTCCCCATCTCCCCAACTCCTCCCTCGCCCCCCTCCCAAGTTGTAAAGTTCGTTTGGGACACCAGTGTTTTTTCTTTCTTGTTATTGCTTTTAACGTATTTATTAAATATTATGTGATTCTTTTTGTTTCTTTTGTATGTTCTTCCCCCACAGTATAACCCCTGTTTTCACTGTATTTGATTCCGGTGCCCTGCATCTTGTTTATAAATTTTTCTAATCTGGGGAGGGGAAGGGAAAGAACAAAATGTTTAAATAAGAATACAGGTTGAAAAAAAAAAAAGAATACAGGTTGACCCATTGTAACAATTATATGTACAAGACACTGTGTTGAAAACGAACTCCTCATCGTTATTTTCAGCATAAATTTCACATTACCTGAACTTGTTGAAATAAATATGTGTCTTCATATGAATTTAGACAGGGCTATTGGTGCCACATTTTAAGTAAAAAAAAATAACTTGAATTAAAAATCAAAAGAACTACAGTTACTCCCGTGTCCATGAGAGCATATAGAGAACATTTATCTGCAGTGTCCAATACTGGTTTATTCTGTGACCATTGAAGCCATTGTAAATGCTTAGATGTTTTCCTCTAATTTAAACTTTAATACTCTGGTTATGATGGTTCATACCTGTAATTCCATCATGGGAACTACATACGAAGCCCCTGTCTTATGAAAAGCATTTACATGTACAATTAAGAAACATATTTTTATTGATTCTATATACAAGATATCTAAAGATTGTGCAAATTAAGCATGTATTCATTATTCCATTTCCTTTGACAATGATTCTTAGATTTGAGTATGCTCCAGAACCACTTAGAGAGGATATTAAAGTTCAGGTCCTTGTATTTTGTAGTCAGCCAAAGAAGTCAATTTAAATTAGAAAAATAATGCCAACAAAAATTCATATTTATCCAATGATCTCCCAGAATGTCTGATTCTATAGATTCTGTAGAATTGTTCTATAGAATTCTATAGATTATATAGGCTAAATTTCCAGTTTTCACAAGTCCTACAGTCATGTTAATGCTACACCAATTGTAAGGATCCCCAACTTATTTTCCACTGACTTCATGGATAAGACAGTGTTACCTCTCCAATGGATGTGTATTGGTGAACTAGTCATAAAAGCTATACATGATAGTCAGAAAGCCTTTGGATGCTGTCTGATTTTAACAGTGTACTAGCAAAATATAGAGCAATAAGGGGTATCTACCATAAACATTGGGTTAAAAGATGATGAATCTAACAAAGGTTAATTTGTTATTAGAACCATCATCAAAACATTAAATCCTATTAGTATTTATTGTAAATTACAACCCTGTGCTCAGTAATTGATACAGCTGGAGAGAAGCTAGCCTGACACAGCACTTACAAGCTCCTTCCCTCAGGACACTTGTGGTCTTCCTAGCAGCACCCACATGGAGCAGTTTCAAATAATAAACTCTTAGGAACACATGGTTTTTATTTGGTCTGATTTATAGGCAGTTTTCTATGGGGAGAGATCAGTTAAAAGATAAGAATTCCATATTGTCAATGTGCACAGCTGTTTAATATCTTCACATAAGCTGTATTTGTCTTACTACATTCAAATGCAAGCTGTGACAGCTAGACTTTCAGTTTACTTCACTTACCTGATATTTGCTTAGTAGAATGATGTGAATAATTGGTATAATTATCCACTTTTACCAGGGCATAATAACTACTCACTTAAAGCTATTGTCTGGATTGGAAGGAGATAATATTTGAAGTGCCTTCACAAATGTCAAACTTAGTTATTTGATCTAGTATATTTTTGTGACTTTAATGCTTAAAATGGTAAAAAGGTAAAGCCAGGCACTGGTGGCTCAGACCTTTAATTGTAGATACTCAGGAGGCTAAGATCTAAGGAAAGAAGTTCAAAGCCAGCCTGGACAAGAGGTCCACAAGACCCAAAAAAGCACCAAAAAAGCTGGAAGTGGACCTGAGGCTCAAGTGATAGAGTGTGAGACTTGAGCTACAAACATACATACATACATACACACATGCATACATATGTACATACATACATACATAATCAGGTACAGCAACCAGGCCCTGAGTTCAAAACCCTTGTACCAGCACACATGTGCATGCGTGCACACACACACACACACACACACACACACACACACACACACACACACACACAAAATCACACATGCTTCAATTCAGAAAACTCATTCTCTATCAGGTTCAGTTTACAAAATCTCTACTTAAACATTTTTGTTTAGAAGTTCACCAGTTTCAATAATTTTGATTAAGAATTATACAAAGTGTATATTCTATTTTCATAGTACACCAAAAATCAAATATTAATTTCTCCAGTACATAGTTTGTTTGATGTGAGCCTATATATATGTATATTCTATGAACAATAAATATGTCACTCATGCTTTCTAGTTTTGAGAAATCATAAGCTTATTTTCTTGTGCACTGATACAATACAAATGAGATAACATCATTCCAAACAATATCCTTGATAAATAGAGTTTACATATGTGTATGTAAACTCTATAAGGGGAAACTAAGGAGGAGGCAACAATGCTTATAAGAAATGTACTCATTGCCTTGTTCAAGTAATTGTAACCCCTCTGTACAGCATTTACCCAATAAAAAAACTTATTAATAAAAAAAGAAAAAATATACATGTTATGTTTATTAATACCTGAAAGTTTATAACCATTTTCATGCCGTATTGAGTACCTCTTTGGGGTTTCTTTTTCAGCAACATCTTCAAGGGGTCGGCTGTGTGCATGTACAGTATGAGTGATGTACGGAGGGTGTTCCTTGGCCCCTATGCTCACAGAGATGGTCCCAACTACCAGTGGGTGCCATATCAAGGGCGAGTCCCCTATCCACGGCCAGGAACTGTAAGTAGTTTGGACATCTAACAGATGAAATGAATATTTTTTTCTGCCAATGTAACAAACAAATGCAGGTGAAAACATTAACTACAGATAATGTCAAACAAAAGTTCCATGATTATAAATAAAAGAGAAGGATTTTGTGTGTGTGTGTGATCCCATAGAATCTCACAAGTTCTTTGCTGTTTTGAGTTATCCGTTCAACATATTAATTTAAATGTTAATGCTTGACTTTATTAGCAATAGATTTGGGAAATAGGAACCAAATGGGCAGACTTCTTTTATGAGTGAGATGTAGTGGAAATGTGCTCCATAATGGTTGCTGCTAGCTGATTAATCTTGTAACCAAAGCTAAAGTAGAATTTCAGAATAATCACTAAGATGAAATATCTATTGGTTACAAGAAGCCAAATCGGTTTTGTATGAAAAATAAATATTAACTCCATGTTAATGGAGTTAACAGGTTTATATTCCTACTTTTGATTGGTGAAAGTAAGTTTGTGCTAAATAGGAATCAACTTCACTTCATCATGCTTGGTAGAACTCCATTTGCTATTATTTTGAGAAACGGATATAAATTCAGTGTTTCATCTGAATCTATACAATGAGGAACTAAAAATAGCAAGTAGAACTAAGGTAGACATTGCTATTCTGTAGATTCTAAAGACAATTTTATAGGGAGATATAGATATAGTAAAAACTTTATTTATATAACTACAGATTTCAATGGCCAGTATTGTATCTCATCAGTGTAGAGTGCGAGTGTAGAGAGGTAAGTAATGGCTCTAGTAGTTAGTTCAGGAAGTTCAGTACACTCGTGTTATTCACAGGTACTTGTTATGAGACATAAATCAAAAACACTAAGTGTTAGAAAGAGGACAAGGGAAGAGTTACCTAATCGAGGAGTCAGAGATGACATCTCACTCTGAATAAAATTCACTTGGACAGGCTTATTAGTGCTAAAAGGTACCCACTGAGAAAGTGTCATTCCATCAACATGACTCGAAAAAAAAATCACAGGCTTCTGAAACGATGTTATTATTTCTGTATATTAGTTAGACTGTATTGAGTAAAAAGACAGTAAAGCAAGAAGATAAATTGTACAGAGAACTAAAATAAAACCCCTTGCTTTATATTTTGATAATAGAATATTAACATTTTGCAACCTATTTTTACTACTTGATAGTAAAGATGCACACAAATAATTTTAAACATCATTAGATAGGTTTTGTTGCTTCTTTAAGGGTTTTCTATAGTGATTTGATATCATCATAAAGTTAAATGATTTGATAATCCACTTAAAAACAGAAGTAAATTGTTACGTTTTTATTATATTATTGTATTGTGTATACTCTTAGAAAAATACAAACATAAATATAGATGCATATATAATCTCATTTCAAGCAGATCTACTTCATTCTTCATGAATTATTAATGTTTTTTTCAAGGTAATGTCAGAGACAATTGATTTCTAATTCTAAGCTTCTTGTAAGATCAGTATCTTCTCTTAATTACATTTTGTCTCTCTAGCTCTTACATTAAATGGCAGAAATTATTTAAGTGTGAAAGCACAAAGCATGAGATTGGAGATACTGTATCTATGAATATGTGTACCACATAATTAAATGTGGAGAAATGAGCCACATTACAGTTTCCTCATTTCTGCTTGGCTGCCTTATATTGAGTGCTGCTCTCCTGAGATGACATTATGCCAGCACACAACAATGAAGTTTTTATGACTTGTAGGGCCGATATCACTTTGGGTTAATCATGATGTCCATTCCATTCTAGTTGGTCATCACAGTTACCCTGTGATTCAGGTGTTTGCAGGATTAGAAAATCATTCTGACTTTCTCCAATCCAATCATTACTTCCATTTAGTTTTAATTTTATTCTATTCTATTCTATTTATTATATCAAATACCACTGTATATATACAACTTGGTTGTGTAGTTATAAAAGCCTCAGACTTTTCCTATACACTGATACATGGGAGGAATTTGCAAGTTCTTCAGAAGAAATGGTGACATAATTCCTTTCAGAAGTTATATACTGGAAGTGGCGCTGTACTCAAGTGGTAGAGCGCTAGTCTTGAGCTGAAAAGCTGAGGGACAGTGCCCAGGCCCAGAGTTCAAGCCCCATGACCGACAAAAAACAACAAAAAAAAAACCCAGAAGTTATATGCTTAAGAAATAAGTACTGATGTTTACATTTACTAATTTCAGTTAATATTAACAATATATTAATCACTAATGACTGTTGATTGAATTTATTAATGTAAAATATAAGTAACACAATAATCACAGGTAGATTCCTAAACCACTGAGGTCATGCACTATTATGTAATTCCTGGTCCTATTCATTAGGGGTTAAATAAAAAGTATTCTCCTTGTCTTTTTCTTCATAGTGTCCAAGTAAAACATTTGGTGGATTTGACTCGACAAAGGACCTTCCTGATGATGTTATAACTTTTGCACGAAGTCATCCAGCTATGTACAATCCAGTTTTTCCTATTAACAACCGTCCGATAATGATCAAAACAGATGTCAATTATCAGTTTACTCAAATTGTGGTAGATCGAGTGGATGCAGAAGATGGCCAGTATGATGTCATGTTTATTGGAACAGGTAAAGGTGTAGCTTCTGTTGGGCATTTTCTTCTAGAACACTATCTTTTACTGATTAACCATATTAAATATTGAAGACATTTTCAAGATACTGTTCATCTCTCATCAAAGGCTAAAATTCTAAGTATTACTAATTCATTATCCTTTTAGAAAAGTAAAGACATATTAATTGAAAATACCTTTCAGTTTCATGGAACTACATGAAAATCAAGCAAAGATTATGTGAACAATTATTGTTGAGAGCTGAATTAAACTCTTGTGATCAATGACTTTGGGGAAAAAATTTATATTGCTCTAACCATATCTGAAACTTACATGTGAATCAGTAATAGTCATCGAATGCAAAATTGTCTGAACCTTAAAATTGTCATCTGATGAGAACTTCCAAAAAACAAAATTATCAAGATTTGTTCATTTTTTTCTACCACTTAGTGGAGAAAAAGAAAAAGAAAAAAGGATCAATCTATCATTAGACACATCTACAAATATTTTAACATTGACTTTTTAGTAACTATAATTGCAAACAAAAATTTCTGAGTGTTTTCAGAATTGATTATATTATTACTATGATGTATTATTTTATTTTCCTTGGCTCCTTTTACTAGTAATACTATTTTGAAAAGTATCGTTTATAAATCTGAAACTTGCTATGTAAGGTCAGATTTCAAGGTAGTACATTTCTAGCATCCATTAACTTGTTAACTTACATAAATCAATGGGAAATGAAGTGATTTCTCCACTGGAACCTTATATAGTAACGTTTATTTTTCCTTGGTGAGAAACACAAAAATAATATGTTAACTACAAAAGAATGTCAACTGTGCAGTGCTTTAAAGAATTAAAGTTTTATAACAAAGTTATGAAACACTTATGCTATCAGGTTTAACAGTGTTAAATTCTGAGCAATACATTACAATCTATTTTCACAGGTAAGAAACTCTATGAAATAAAAGACTCCTAAGGAGATTCAAGGCCCCAAGTCAATGGATTATTAGCACCAACTTCAGATTGCTAGAAAATATATGATTATATAGTATTTCTTCAATAAACATTATTTTATCTGCCAATGCAAATAAAATTGAATCTTTCTATACAGTAATTATAATTGATGGTCAGTTTCTCATATATATATATATATGTATATATATATGTATATATATATGTTTCTTCACTTTTGGCTTAAAACTTCTCCAAAAACCTCTTATCCACCCTCAAAGCAACAAATTTGCTTTAAGGAATTTTACCAAAGACAGCCAGTCACAAGCTTTTAATCCTTCTCTGACACAAACTGTCTTTAAAGGCACCAATTTCATGAGAATGTTGAAGGTCTGATGGTGTGGACGGCTGTAGGTCAATACAGACCAGGGTCAGTTGTCAGCAAAGTAAATTGATTACAGTAATTTTATCTCTTAACTAAGTTTCACATCATAGCATATTGATCTTAGTTGAGTAATCTGATTCAATTTGTGTGAAAATGTTTGAAATATTACTCCATAAACTTGATCTGAAGTACAGATAAAGTTATGTTTAGACACTAGAGATCTGATCATAAGCACTGAGTAGATTAACTTAATTTCCCTTTAATCTTTGGTGTTATGAGTAGTCTAGAGTCTTGTAAACATAAAAGGATCGTCTTAAAAGAGACTGTTAAAATGTACAAGAGATAAACTGGTAGCCTTTATTGATCACCATAAAAATCATTGTCAATGGTCTAAGTACATTGAGTTATTTTTGTTATGGTAACTTGTTCTTTCTTGTAAGGTGTACTCAAAAATATTCTGTTAAATTTGATGAAAATAAGCCATTTGAAGCTAATAAACAATTGTTGATCAAATTTACCCAGAAATGGGATATTGAAAAGTCAAATTTTTAGTTTAAAAAGACCCTTCTGTCAAGCAGTAGAATATACAGACAATTTGAAAAATTAATATTATTTTAAGTAGCTGAATAAATGTGATAACTCCTACCATTAAAATGATCAATAATGAAAATTTTTTAATTGTTTGGTATATCTACAAAATGTACTCAACTAGGTGAATTTGAAATGTCTTCTATGCCTTAAAATTGATTTACCATTGGGTGCATTAGTGAAAAATTACTGTAATACGTAGTGCTGAGTGGTTATCTTGAGGAATCATGTTATTGTCTTTCCTCACTGTGTAATTTCTCTTTAAGGGCTTCCAGTGTTATAGAGTTTCAGGCGACAGGATAAGCAGCCAGGCTCTGACTGCCCAGTGCTAAACAACATTCCTACATATTTTTTCATCTATATTTCATCTTTAACAGAGCACAGTCATTTCATAATAGAAGTGGGAAAACCTGTTACCACATCAGACTGATATTATAGCTAGTTTTCTTTTCTTCTGAGATACTTCACAATTAATGAGATTTTGAAACTAATAATACAGAAATTCACTCCAACATGCCAATTTCTGGAGTGCTAATAATGTTATATTTTACAATCACATGGTTTCAGGATAAAACCTTCAATAGAATATAGTTCTTAAAATTCAGGGCTTTTAAAAATACCTTTTATTATCTTTAGGTAGTTGTACAAAGGAGTTGCCATTCACCAAAACAATGTATGAATCCAGCATATCTGTCTTTATAGCTGATCACATGTAGAATTGCCTGAAATGCATTCTAATATTTTGACAAAACAAAACAAATTAAAAGGAAGACGCAAGTCAAAATGTTTTTTCGGGGGGGACACATCTCAATTTCTTTCATTAGCTCTAACTTCTGTTAAGATCTATTTAAGTGATAGCCTTTATTTTTCCTCTCTTCCAAAGATATTGGTACCGTTCTTAAAGTAGTCTCAATTCCTAAGGAGACATGGCATGATTTAGAAGAAGTTCTGCTTGAAGAAATGACAGTTTTTCGGGTGAGTGCTGCTTAATTTCAAGTGTCAACAAGTTCAAGTGTGTATCTATCCCCCAGGACAACTGCATGCTGAATTTGGTATGGACAAGTAATCTAACATACCTTTCTAATTAGCTTGTCAATTAGAAGCCAGACACTAGTCAAAATAAACCTTGAAACTTTCAATGTACTTTAAATCTAAATACATGAAAAAGATAGTATTGGCTCAAATTTTGTTTTCTTAATGATGAAATCTATGTTTTACCCTTTTATATTATTTATATACATTACTTCAATGAGTAAACTCCTCCCCCTTGCAAATCTTCCCCCCCCCCCACACACACACATACACTTGATGGTATAGCTGGAACTAAATGTAGCTTTTGTGATTTCATTCAATGAAATACATTCTGGATGACAGAGTAATAAAGACATTTCAATCACATTCACAAGTTGTTTCATCGTATCTTCTTAAATCATTTCTTGGCAAAAGTAAATTTGAAGATTTCATATTAATAGTAGCAAATTTGTTATAAACTCCTAGTCTGCACACTTAAGAAATATAGAGATGGTTGTCCCTTTGTGTTCGGTGCCATAGAACACAGGTAAATTTCTGAGGTATTGAAGTTGAAGCTACAACAAATAGGAAATGAAAGAACTGAAGGGGTGTAATGTAGAGATTATATCTGATGTTTCTTTTACAAAGCTAGACAATAGGTGTCATTTGAACTGACACGTTTTGGCATAAATTATTTGTGAGACTTCAAAGAGAAATTATTTTGGGGGTCAACTCATATTGGGATATTTATAACTGCACAATAAATTTGAATTGGCAGAAAGTAAACAACTCATTAGGTCTAGTCTTTCAACTTCAGTGGTATATATATATATATTTTTTTATTTGTGAACATACTGTACAGAGGGGTTACAATTACATGGGCAGGATAATGCGTACATTTCTTACCAAGCATTGCAGCCTCCTCCTTTGTTTACCCTTCACATCCCTTCCCAGCCTCCCCCCTCCCCCCCATCCCAATCATTCTCCTTCCCCCCCCCCCCCCCCCCCCCCCCCGCACCAACGTTGTAAAGCTCGTTTTGGACATGACAACTTGTACTTCTCATTGTTGCAACAGGTCCACCTGTATCCAGTGGTATATTTTTAAAGATTTGTATTAGAGAATAATTTCATCTCCAGGCAGTTCAGATAGTTTATCTGTAAAATGAATGTGTTGGATTATGTTTTCAATGAATTCAACATTAATTGGTAGGCAAAATCTTCCCAAAACTTCTCTTAACCCTATATTTCTAAACCAGGGCAGTCCACATTGGCTCAGTATTCAGTAGTAATGTGAAGACAAAGTGAAGTAAAATGTGACAGTTTCATATATATGTATATATATATATATATATGTACATATATATATTTAATGAAATTTTGGTTAAATTGCTTGGAATATTTAACAGACTTTCTGAGTTTCCTATCAGCAAAGGAGCAGGAATAACCTCTAATTCACCAAGAGATTAGAGAGTTAGAGATGGGCATGTAATGAAATAGGATAGTGGAAGCTCTGTGGTCAACCTATTATTGTTAATAGTATTTTATTGATTTCAATTAGCTAAGCTCAAAATGAGATATCTTTAGTTGGTATGTCTACAAACCCTTGATTTAAAAACTCCAAATTAGTAAAAACTCTCATTCTGGCTTCTTAACCCAAGCACTCTGCCCTTATTTATAGTTTATATTGGATGTAGGGTGAAAACTAATTCTTAGCCTTTTCCATAACACATGAGTTCCCTCAGGGAACAAGCACATTGAAACTTCAGCCTATAAATTTTAGCAAAACAATTATCCAAATGGACTGATATCCACTACAGAATGGATGTAGTTTCCATAAGCAAATTGGCATTGGGGAGTGAGTGGATTTATAAATTGCTGTTTTGTGTTCATTTTCAGAGCCTAAGGTTTATTTGTAATCAACATTTATAAATGAATTAATGAAACCATATTAATACAAAATAGAAATTGGGGACCCTATAGATTATAAGGGCCTTCCACAAGATGTGCAGGATTAGAGTATGCAACTAGAGAATGGGAATATAGATTTGTAATGGCAGCAGTTTATCCTGCTAATCTGGTACCCTTAGTAGAAAAACAAAAGGTTACCAGTTGTGCACATTTGAAGATGTATATTGCCACCTGTTACTAATATAGTTATGAGACACAACAGTATACTACCCTGAGAAATGTAAAATTATTTTTAGACTTTCTTATTCAAATTAATCTTGATTTCTTTATTTACACCCTTCAGTTGATAGACATAATCAAACAGAGCCCATTTATCAGGAGGAGGGGCATATGCGTGTCTGTGGGTCATGGGACAAGGATGGTACTAACTTTTGGTAGCACAGAGATAAATCTTGAAAACCTTACCCCTGAGAATATGTAAATTTCAGGTTACTTTGTGTTTCCAGGACTGACTTATTATCTATTAGTGTAATTAAAGTTTACTTTGTGGAATTGTTTAAAGTCTAGGGAAGACATTTTAGAAATACTCTCTCTCTCTCTCTCTCTCTCTCTTTCTCTCTCTCTATTTTTCAGGGATTTAATGAACAAAATATGCATATTTTTTAGTTAAACTGTATTCTAGTAAATTTTTATTCTTCATATCTCTAGATTTTAAGTTTATATATCCTATCTTGCTTTTGTACTTTGATATATTTTTTAAAAATCCAACAAGGTGCTGATGGCACACACCTGTAAATCCTAGATACTCAGGAGGCTAGGATTGTGATTTAAAGGCAGCCAGGGTAGGAAAGTCCTTGAGACTTTTACCTCCAACAAGCTTGAAAAAATAAAAGTTTGAAGAGCATCTGTGGCTCAAGAGGTAGAACTCTAGCCTTAGGCAAAAATTTCAAGGACACTACTGAGTCCCTGAGTTCAAGCTCCAGAACCAATGTGCGCATAAGCGTGGCACATGCATGTGCGTGCACACACACACACACACACACACACACACACACACACTCCAATTTATAAATAGGAATTTTATTTAAGCTGAACTGTTAAAATGACCTTCAACAAAATCATGAAATAATGAAAGTCAACATTCTTGCCTGTAAAATATTTAATCTCTCTTCTTTTTGTTAGTATTTTCTGCTTTCCAGAGAAATACACAATCAACTTATATGTGAGATTTCTGTTGCAATATATTTTTGGTGCTGGCACATGTTCTAATCTTAGATGTTCAAAGTGAGTAGATAATGATGATCACAGTTCAGGACCGCACAGGCAAAAAAAAACTTAGAATGATATTATACAAACAAATAAGTTCAACGTGGTGTTTACAACTGTAAACCTAGCATAGGTGGAAGGCAGCGATATAGATAGGTTCATGATCTGAGGCTGGCCTTACCAAAAAGCAAGACCCTATCTGAAAAAAAACAAATAGAATTCAAGGTATTGCTTCAGGAGTATATAATTTGTTTAGAACATGTGAGTCCCTGAGTTCAAAACCACGTACCACTAAGAAAAAAAAGAAAGTATCTTGAAAAGAATTCCTTATCAATCCCAAACATCTAATTATAAGTAAATAATATTGTTCTAGGATAGAAATAATTTCTTAGCAATCTTCAGTTTTGTGAAAAGTTTGTTTGCAACTAGAAATACCTCTCCTTGCACAGAAACTGCCCTAGTTTTTTCTATGTTCTTTGCTATGCATATTGTCATTATAATATCGTTGACACTCAAGTAAACAAAACATATTTGAACAGAGTTTAGAGCATTATTTACTTTCAACTATTCTATCAGGAAAAGTTCTAGCAATTGGAATATTTCATTGTCAAACTTTAATTTTGCAGAGAAGAAAAAAACAACACAACATAATAGATATATACTGTGAAAACAAAGGAATGTAACGATTTCTATAATTTTATTTGAACCTTTTATCATCTCCTTTAAAATAAAATACAATAGAAAGGTTAACTTGGACACTGTGATACTTTTAACAAGGTCAATATGCAAAGTTCAGAGTTAGGATCATCCTTATACCTGACACCCTTGGATAGTTTTTTAAAGACATATATGATGCTAACCAACCTGTTAATTTCCCATGTTTTCTACATTGGACCATGTTCATTGTGCTCTTAATCGACTGAATATACAAACTTTATATCAGTTCTTGAATTTCAACCTGTCCAGTCCATCATCATTTCAAGATTAATTAATTAATCTGTCCAGTGTATCAACATCTCAAGATTAATTAATTAACCTGTCCAGCCCATCACCAACTCAAACAACAGGACCCCCTCTTTTCAGTGGTTTCTCTCACTTCAAACACATTTTTGTTCTGAGTAAAATTAAATCCCTATCAATGGAGAGAAAGAAAAATGTTTCTTGGCCATAAAATTTCCATTTTAGAGTAAAAATGTTAGCAAGCAATAAGAGGTAAAAGAAAGTTGGCATTTGAATCAATGTCAAGAAATTCTGATTTCAACCTAATGCTATTCAAAATAGCATTAAAGAGCTAAAACGTAGCTGATAGTTCACTGTGAGTTGTAATCAGATATCTGAATTCGGATCTTATTTTTTTCTGATTCTGAACCAGCTAGTTAAAGTCAGTAGAGCATCAGCTTCTCTTTATCATGAAGAGTATACTTTTTTAAATGTTTTTTCAAAAGTTAACCTTGCAAGTCAGTGTTACTTATTGTCAACTACTTATAGAAAGAATTTGCTTTAAAATGATTGAACCAAATTCTATGTCTTATTTCTTTTTTATTGTTGTTGTTGATTATTTATCTTTTGTTTTATGCTAATATGGGGCTTGAACTCAGGCCAGGACACTGTCCTTCAGCATCTTCATTTAGTACTGGTGCTCTAACAATTGAGCCACACTTCCACACCTGGCTTTTGCCAGTTAATTACAGATAAAAGTCTCACAAACTTTGCCAAACTAGCATTGAATTGTGATCCTCTGATCTCAGGCTTCTGGATAGTTAAGATTATAGGCATGAACCACCTCAGCCCTGTCATCTTATTTCTTAAGATAGCTTATCTATAGCTTGTTGAATATTCAAAAGACATAAAAGCCTGACATATGCTGATTTTTTTACATGAACTCTTCAGTATAGGGTTATCTTTCCAATCCAGTTCAAAAGGGTTTTGCTTTTGAAACACTTTAGTGCTAAATCAACTTGCAGTGCATTTAGGAATAATGGGCCTATTTAGAGTAATACTGCCTGTAAAGGATTGCAAGGCAGTTACATCAATAACACATGCATTTTAGACCCAATTTATACAATATTCCAGGAACAGCTGAGCAAACAAATGAAGGCATTTAATTTTCATTCAGATGTAAAACATAATTGATACTTTCCAAAACCTACTCTATCAACTCATTCTAAAGGAGCACTGTGTGCTTAGCATCCAGTGAGCTATCTCAGAATCTCCTGGAATCAGCAGGTTGAAAAGCTTTGCAAGTGCAAAAGTTTAATAGAGACTAGATTAAAATATCTGGGAAAAATAGGATAAATTGGAGTAATAGAAAACCCTGAAAAGTTGCTATGTTTTTAATTTCATTTTTACTTGAACACCAATTAAATTTGCAATTGAAGCCAGTTTCATGAAAAAAATGCTTATGAAGCTACATCTGTTTTAAATGTAAGTCATTTCTACCATCAGCGAGCTCTCAAGAAAAAAATATAGCTCATTTAAACGCATGTCATCTTAATATATTGTCTATTAAAATTCAACCGCAGGCAGTGTATAACCCATATTATTCCAGATTGTTATTAATCTTGTGATCTAAATAATAAATAAGCCCCTATTAATTAAGAAACTCTAGGACCATAAGAATGTTGAGTTCATAATCTGGAATGTGGTGTGTATTAGGGTTCATTTCATGTTTTGCAATTTGTAAATTAAATAATTTATTTTCATCGGCCTTATAGATGTTTGTTGTTTTGGTATAGTCAGTGGATATGAAACAAATGAATACAATTAATCAGGTTCATTTTTAAAAGAATTTACACATAGCTAATTCTCACTTCACTTACATTAGTTTGTTCTGCCTAAGAAGTTGTTATTTTTTTCATGCAAATCTAAAAGATGCTAGCTGCTTATTTAGCCACATTATTTAGACTATTACCATGTGAGGTTGTTATAAAAGACCAAATTGTCATGGAATTTTTTCTGCTCTGGTTTGTTTATTATAATATCACGCAAACCCACATATTATTTTCAGCTTTTTCTATCAAAAAATGAATGTTTGTGATAAGTTATCCTACTGAATTTTATGATGTGATGTTACAAAATGCTAAAGATCCTATCTTGGCATAAATGAAATTCAAAGTTATTACATTCATCATTATCTTTATGGTGGATCATTATTATATTTGATAATGAATATTATTTGTTTAAGCTATGAAATGGAAAACGATTGGAAATCTCCGTTAAATTAATACACATCCTACATCCTTTGTCCCATTTGTGTCTCAGGCAAGTTGTCTTAGATTTGTTAAGAAAACCTTTTTCTCAGTTCAGACACAGGGCTTGAGTAGATTCTTTGCAACCCTGAAGCAGCACAGGGGTAGCTAGCAACTCAGAGTTGTGATCTGAAGACAAAGAAGGCAGCATGAGAAAAAGAATGGGGGGTGAGGGCAGGTACGCTTGTGAAGCATGGCTGCAGGATAATATGATTAACATAAAGACTAAGATGAAATAGCATAAGGGGAGTTTAATGAAAGTTTAGTCAAGAAGAAATAATAGTGCCATATGAACTCTAAGACTAAAATTCAGCTAGAAAGATATCCCTTCAGAAAGGTAGGGGTTATCAGTAACTTCAGCTCTTGAAACAAGTAGACTCTCTCTAGAGCAAGGTCTAGACATAGAGACTCAAAGGAAGACAGCAAAGGAAAATGATATATAGAATATTTATATTATTTTGAAGGAAGTTCCAGGTAAAGTCAAAGTTGGGGAAAGATACTTTAGGTGATGGTAGGCTTTGAATTATATACAAATAAGACAGGAGGAATGAACTGAGTTAAATAACAAGATAAATATGAAGAGTTCATTCACTTAAAGTAATAATTGAGAACTTTTCATTGTTAAGTGTAATTGTAGGCACTTGCAATATGTCAATGAAATAAACAGCCCAAATGACTGTGTCAAACTAGCTAGGGGAAACAATGGATAAGTCATCTGAATTTCTTTTGCTTGTCCTCCTCCTAACCTCTCAGTCCTGAGTCTAATTCCTATTGTGGATCTTTCACTTTCTGCCCCAGGATTTCTCTGTCAAGTTGACAAAAAAAATCCAGCAAGAATTAGACTTAGGGTAGACTCCCAGAAATATCCAGTGAGTAATGAAATGAAAATATAGTTTTTGGTGGGTATGTCAATGCTCAATTTTGAAAGTCATCCTCTACTATACTAAGAATGTCTTGTGATGATGAGTTCTATAACGTCATCTTCATTCCAGTCCTAAAGACCTCAGTTTGGGATTACATCACATTGTACCTTGAAATGGAATTGGAAAACTCAGAAGAAAAGAGATAAATTATAGTGTATATATGTATACGCATAATCCACTGTACATACATAAAGTTATAAACACTATAAAAAGCAAAGAAAAGATGATATTGTGTGTATGTGTGTGAGAGAGAGAAAGAGAGAGAAATGAGAGTAATTTGAAAGAACATTATGCACAAAACCTATTTGTTAAGTGTTTTATGTATAAAATCATGAGCAATGTCCAAGTCACAAGAATCTCCTCATCCTGCCTGAAGAAAGGGGTTCAGTGAGGGTATTTCTACTTCAACATCAATCACTGGAGTATCTTATTTTTTCTTTGAAATGGCTTATGAAGATAACTAATCATAGAATTATCTCTGCAATTTAACAGCAACCAGGATGAAACAAAGTCTAACATTTCTGTTGTTGTTGTTGTTCTTATGGTGGGACTAGGATTTAAGCTCCAGACTTTACACTGCCTCAGCACTCTACCACTTTTTGCTTTGTTTTTGAAGAAGGTCTTACATTTATACCAGGGCTAACTTGGACCATGACTTGGTTTTCTATTTATGCTTCCCAAGTAGCTATGACAGCAGACACACAGCACCATTTCCAGCTTTTTACTGGTTTTGATGGAATCTTGTGATCCCTTTGCCCTGGCTATCCTTGAATGAAAAATCATCTTGATCTCTAACTCCCAAGTACCTAGGATTACAAACATGAGCCACCATGCTTGACTATAAAGCCATACTTTTTTAAAATCCCGAATCACCTAACACTCTCACCTCCAAAAAGAAGTACTTTTCAATACACTTTTACTGAGTTGTCTTTTATTGCAATGAGCAACAAACACTACTGGGTAACTTTCAGGCACTTTGACCTGTTGATACTGATGTTGACTTATTATCCACTCCATGTTTTTTTCATATTTTTATTGTGAAAATACTGTACAAAGGGGTTACAATTACATGAGCAAGGTAATGAGTACATTTCTTATCAAGCATTGTTGCCTCCTTTGGTTCCCCTTCCCATCCCTTCCCATCTCCCTCCCGCTCACACCTCCTCCCCACAACCCAGCCAAAGTTGTGAAGTTCGTTTTTCGACATAAGGTCTTGTACATCTCATTGTTGCAATGGGTCCACCTGTATCCCTATTTAAACAATTTGTTTTTCCCTTCCCCTCCACAAATTATACCAACATCAAATACAGTGAAAACAGGGGTTATACAAGCAACACAGAAATCATCTTACAAATATGTTAGAAACAATCGCAAGAAAGAAAAAACATTTGGATCCTTATCTTGGGGTTCATTTCGCCTAACATCAACTTATCCAACCGTTTCTGCTTGTCTCAGACATATACTAGTCCACTCCACATTTGACAGCTACTTATGCATGTTTCTTTACTGTGTCTTATTTCCCAGTGCTCATTGTGATCACAGAAATTATCTCTCCTATCTCTCTAAAAGTTTATTATGGTGCCTTGAGCAAATCATTAATGACTAATGATTCTCAAACACTTTCATTTTGTCTTCTTTAGGAACCAACTACTATCTCAGCAATGGAGCTATCCACTAAACAGGTACTGTCATCTTTTATTACACTCAAAATTATATTTTGTTAATTTTCTACTGAAGATTGATAAATCTTATTTTCTACCATAATTCATGGATTTGTTAACAATTATATGCAATAGCTAAAGGAAAATAAATGCCACTCATATTAACTAGAAGAATGAAAACAAATGGTATGTTAATTGTCCTGACACTTTTTTACTCATTTGCATTTCACAGTAATATTTCTCAAATCATTACTTATTGCAAATGTCAATTTATAGAATTTTATTTTTGATTACTTAATAGAAAATTCTTAAAGCTAACTAATAAATTATTTTCATCTTTTGTGAATATTAAAAATTGAAAACAAATGGTACTAGATATTTTAGAATAAAAATAAATTTGTAATTTAATTTTACTTTGTATACAGGAATAAATACATGTTATAGGCTAAGAAAATAGTATTTATATATCTTTAAGGATATTGGCATCAAAGTCAAAATATTGTTTACAACTGATTTGAAATTAGTTACTAGCTAATCTATCATAAAACTCAGAGTGAAAAGTAGGGTGACACTCACTGGTGTAAAAACTTATTTGCGGAACTGTGAAAAATAGAAATGAGTTGGCACTTCTTCTTCCTGAACTGTTTACATGTCTTAGACCAGCTTTATCCCTTGAACAAAACACTAACTTACTGTGCCAATGAAATTCAATGTGTATTCTTTCCGAATAGATGGATTAAAATAGATTGATAATCTCCAAGCTATTTAGACAACTTGGAATGTAGATATCATTGACCTGATTCTGGTATCTCACACTTCAGAAATATGTGTTCACCTGTTCTTGTTATCTAAAAATTGTCACATGTTGGCAAGGAAATATGGGGATTTCCAGGATGGAAATTAGACAGGGATAATCTTTCCTATAATGATTTTTTAAATTAAATGTTTATTCTCCATTAGACCTCAGAGCCAATCCTAATTGCACCACCTCTGTACCTACTTTAGTAAAATATTTTAGTAAATTAAAGAAAACATTATAAAAGATTGTCTACTAATGCACCGTATCACCAACTGACCAAGAAAATAGTATCAATTTAAAGTCTTCTGATAGAAGTGTCTATAACTTACATTTTCTATCTCTGAGAGGAAGGTGGGTTTTATTGAGCTATTCAATTTCATTCATTCTTATGGGCTTTTATTTTATTTTCTGCTGGTCTTGGGGCCTGGGAGCTGTCCCTGTGCTCCTTTTTGCCCAAAATTAACATTCTACCAGTTAAGCCACAGTGCTACTTGTGTCTTTTTCTGTAATTCATTTTAGATGAGCCTCACAGGCTGGTTTTGAATTGCCATCCTTAGTTCTCAGCCTCCTGTCTAGCTAGAATTACAAGCGTGAGCCATTGGCACCCAGTCTTATGGGCATTTTTAAAGTTGTTTCAAGTGAGATGAGTAGTGTTATAACTCATTATCTGGATAAATAGAGTGATGACCTGCTCAGGGCCTCTGACTTGTTAAGGAGGACCTTCAAAATGCCTGTGGTGATGTTAAATTAGGCAGAAAAAGCATACTGGGTTCTTGCTGGTAACTGGATTGTACTCATTGATGCCTGCAAACGTCAACTGTATTTCATTTGGAGAGCATAATTACTTTTTCTCATCGTTAATAATCCTATGGTTTTGGTTAAAATGAATTGTATTTAATTTTGGCATTTTGTTATATTATAGATTCTCATTTCAATATTTCACTTTTCATATTTCTGGGTTTCAATGTACTATATCTGCTTTTCTCCTAAAGAAATATGCCAGATTTAGATATTTTATTTAGCTCTTTCCTTACACAGATTTCACATATCTAAAAATGCACATACATGAATCTTGCTTAGGTTTCTTCAGAATTATTAGCTAAGCATAGGCATGCTTTTTTCTTATGTAATTCGTATGTTCAGTAGTTGTGTATGTTTGTTCATGCAGGGTGTGTGTGTGTGTGTGTGTGTGTGTGTGTGTGTGTGTTCACGCATGCAGGTCATGGGGTTTGGACTCAGGGTCTGGGTCCTTCAGCTTTCTTTGCAGAAGGTGAATGTTCCACCACAACTGCATTCCCAGCTTTTTAGTGGCTATATTAACTGAGTTTCACTAACTATCATGTCCTTGCTGAATTTGAACTATTATCCTAAGATTCCCCAGCCCCCCAAAACCCAAAAGGCTACATCCACTTTTTAAAAATGGGTAGATCAATACAGGTGCTGGTGGCTCACGCCTGTAATCCTGGCTACTCATGAAGCCGAGATCTGAGTATCGTGGTTCAAAGCTAGCCCAGAGAGGAAAGTCCCTGAGATTCTTATTTCCAATTAACCATCAGAAAACCAGAAGTGGCGCTATGACTCAAGTGGTAGAGTGCTTGCCTTGAGCTAAACAGCTGAGGGACAGTACCGAGGCCCAGAGTTCAGGCAGCCAAAGAGTTCAAGAGGCCAAGAATTCAAGTCTCAAAAATAGTTCAAGACTGACTCCTCCCCAAAAAATATGGATGGATTATTTCATTTGGCTTGGTGTGTTCCTATACACTAAGGACATTCATGTGTTTGTGTATTTGTTACAACACTCTAAACTGTTCTCTTGTTCTTCATAAATAGTATATTTATTTCATTATTTTATCCTGTTAAAATTGCTTCCATTCAGTTTTTAGAAAGATTTTTTTAAAAGAAAGGCTATTGGAAGAATGGACACCTTTTCATTCTAAGCATCATTTCTTAACCTTTGCTGATTTTTAACAGCATCCTACAACATTTAAGTTGATTATAGTAATATGTTGAGCATCTTGTAGTATATATCATAATTTTATTTTCCTTATTTATTAAAGTAGCATTTACCAGGATGAGTGCTTCTACAATGGTTTAATTTTAGTTATATAACCTTTTGCTTTTCTGATTTCAAACATTCTGCAACATTTGTTGGTTTGTTTTGCATGTGATGATACCAGGGTTTGAACTCAGAGATTCATTTGCTCTTGCTCATATTTTCCAATCCTCTCTGGCATGCTAATATTTGAGCCATGCTTCTAGTCCTCTGATATTAAAATATAAGTATATGGTTATCTTTAAGCATCTTCATAAACATCTCTTATTCCCTTAATAATTTCTTACATTCTAATAGATACTTCAGTCTGCATTCAAATTATCTCTTTTTATAATTCACAAATGAAAGTCTTTGGAAACACAATTTTAACTATGTCAACTTAAGTGCAACTTTAAATTCTCTAACGTTAAAAGAGCATACAACTGTAGACTTTCCTGAAACTTGTTCTACATCTACATACTGGAGACATTATAGCACCCTTTTGAAGTCTTTTTACTTGTGTATTACCATTACCTGTTTCCACATGTACATAATTTTTATTTAAGGCTTACTTTAATTAATCAATTCTCTAGTTCAAGTAAAAGGAGTGATGGAACCAATTAGGATATGCTGAGGATAAATCAGAAAATAATTCTACTTTTTGTTTTGTGTCATGTGACATATGTTATATAGTTCAACTTTGTTCAGGGAATTTTCAAGGGGGTATTGAAGTCTTAAAGTAATAGTTGCTAGAAATATCCTTAATATTCTGTATTCTATCTCATTCAATGGCTGCAATTTCATGGTTTATCTGGTGACTACATAAATGAACTCATGCAGTGAATTAAACTCATTCTTTTGATAAGGACATTAGTCTTTAGAAAAACCTATGTGAATGTCTGCAGAGCACAGCGTTAATGTATGGTGAGATCAAGTTGCCAAGCTCACTGACACCAGTGCTTAGTCCATACATATTAACTTTTAATTTATAAGTGGGACCAATGGTATCTGTTTCCCATCTGATGATACTTTCCATGTGATGTAATTTGTAGTGTTATTTAAAATTATTTTCCAAGGCAGGTTTTTGGTGTTGAATCACAAATTTTTCAAGTGTCACCCGCTAGTTCTACCTTACCCTGCTCAGTAGAGGGTATTATACTTCCCTGGCAATGTAATAGGATAGCCGGGCATCAGGATCAAAATGTGTTTTCAAGACAGTCCAGAATGCATAGCCAGAATTATGATTAAACCATTGCTTTGGTTCATCTAAATGAAAAATAAAAGTAGAAAATAAAATTATTAAGAACATAAAATGGAGCATCTAAACATGTATTTTTCTTTATTTTTAGGATTAATAAAAAATATCTGGTTTAAAATTGTTTAAATAGGGATACAGGTGGACCCATTGCAACAATGAAATGTACAAGATGTTATGTTTAAAAACGAACTTTACGGGAAGGGGGTTGATGGGGAGATGGGAGGGTAGGGATGGGAAGGGGAAACAAAGGAGGAGGCAACAATGATTGATAAAAAATGTACTTATTCGCATTATCCTGCCCATGTAATTGTAACCCCTCTGTACAGTATGTTCACAAATAAAAAATAAATAAATTAAAAAAATATTTAAAAAAATGTACTCATTACCTTGCTCATGTAACTGTAACCCCTCTGTATGGTATTTTCACAATAATTTTTTTTTTAAATCTGGTTTAATCAAGTGCTTAAGAGTTTGCTCTTGCTCCAATTTAAATTGTCATATTAGAAGACTTTTAAGAGGGTATTAATAATAGCCTTTTGAAATTCATAAACACTATTTGTTTATAAGTCTAAGTAGCTCCTACAAATAGCACGTTTTCTCCATATGTAGAATCTACATTTACAGAAAAGAAAAGGAAGCAAAAAGGGGATAGTTTGGGGAGAAAAGGACTAGCAGGAGGGAGAAAAGAGGGTAATGGAGGGGTAAAGATGATGATAGTACACAACATAGACTTGCATGAAAATATCAACATGAAAGCCACGTTTTGTACAAAAAAATAATAAACCTATAGCTATAGATGTCGAACTCAAGACTTCTTTTCTTCATAAGAGTAAACTCTCTCCACAGCAACAACTGTATGTCGGTTCAACTGCTGGGGTTGCGCAGCTGCCTCTGCACCGGTGTGACATTTACGGCAAAGCCTGCGCAGAGTGCTGCCTGGCTCAGGACCCTTACTGTGCTTGGGATGGCTCATCATGCTCTCGCTATTTCCCTACTGCAAAAAGGTAGGTGAAATTAAAAATGAAATAGGTGGTGCTAAATGTATAGGATTCCACATTTTAAAACAACTTTCTTCAATAAAGCACATCAACTTTTGTTTCTGATGAAAGAAAGATGTGGGGAGTTGGTGGTAGAGGTTAGCTGTTTTATTTTTTATTTCTTCCTCCCTTAAAATGGACAAAACAGCTATAAAACATGTATAGTAGAAAACCTAGATACTAAGTGAAGGGGAACAAATGGCTTTCGTAAACGAATGAAGGACACGTATGACAGCACAATGATGGACTTGGTAGCTAAATTTCACCTGGAGGATACAAGATGAAGGTCACAGGGAGGTCGTAGACAGAACTGAGACTAGGCTTAGTACTTTTTAACTAAAACCTGGTATTGCCCTAAAATTCTCCGATTTCTCAATACCACCCCATTGTATATTGTGCTTAAATTTCCATAGGGCTTTTTTTTTAATTGGTTAAACAGAAAATTCTCAGACAAAAGTGCTTTGTTTCCTTTGGAGTCTTAGGAAATGTAAATAAGCACAGCTATAAAGAAATCTAGATTTGGAAGTGCCGCTGTGGCTCAAGTGGTAGAGTGCTTGACTTGAGCTGAAGAGCTCAGGAACAGCACCCAGGCCCAGAGTTCAAGCTCCACAACCATCCAAAAAAACAAAAAGAAAGAAAGAAAGAAAGAAAGAAAGAAAGAAAGAAAGAAATCTAGTTTTAAAAATGTTTTATCCCGTCCACTCCCCAAATTATACCAACATCAAATACAATGAAAAACAGGGGTTATACCGTGGGGGAGGGATATGCAAAGCAACAAAAAAATCACATGGTATAAATACGTTATAAATATGTTAGAAACAATAGCAAGAAAGAAAAAAAAGCACTTGTGTCCTTATCTTGGGGTTCATTTCGCTTAACATCATCTTATCTTTTCTGCTTGTCTCAGATAAAACAAATCGTTTAAACAGGGATACAGGTGGACCCATTGCAACAATGAGATGTACAAGAGGCTATGTCGAAAAACGAACCTTACAATTTAGGCACGGGGGCTAGGGGGTATGTGAGGCGGTCTGGGAGAGGGAGGAATATAGTAGTGGAGATGGAAAGGGATGGGAAGGGAAAAACAAAGGAAAAGGCAACAATGCTTGACAAGAAATGTACTCATTATCTTGCTCATGTGATTGTAACCCCTCTGTACAGTATTTTTACAATAAAAAAACTTATTTAAAAAAATAAATAACCTACCCGCCCCCCAAAAAATATGTTTTATCCCAGTGCCGGTGGCTCAAGCCTATAATCCTAGCTACTCAAGAGTCTGAGATCTGAAGATCGCCAGTCCGGGCAGGGAAGTCCATGAGATTCATTTATTTCTTTATTTCTTTACTTATTTATTTATTCTGAAAATATCGTACAGAGGGGTTACAATCACATGGGCAAGATAACGAGTACATTTCTTATCAAGCATTGTTGCCTCCTCGTTGTTTCCCCTTCCCATCCTTTCCCATACTCCTCCCCTCCCCACACGCGATCCTCCACACACCCACCACCAAAGTTGTTAAGTTTGTTTTTCAACATAACGACTGTACGTCTCATTGTTGCAATGGGTCCACCTGTATCCCTAGTTAAACGATTTGTTTTTTTTTTCCCTTCCCCTCCACAAATTATACCAACATCAAATACAGTGAAAGTATGGGTTATACTGTGGAGGAGGGACATACAAAGCAACATACAGATCATCTTATAAATATGATAGAAACAAATTAACCACTAGAAAACCGTACGTGGTGCTGTGGCTCAACTGGTAGGATGATCACCTGGAGCTGAACTGCTCAGGGATAGTGCCCAGGCCCAGAGTTCAAGCCATGCAAAGGACACACACACACTCACACACACACATACACACACACCCCTTATGTTTTGTATTTGATACATTAAGACACAATAATTTACATTGGAGGATTGGGTGGAGGGGCTGGGGGAGGATGGGAAGGGGAAACAAAGGAGGAGGCTAAAATGCTTAATAAGAAATGTACTCATTATCTTGCCTATGTATTTGTAACTCCTCTGCACGATATTTTCATAATAATTTTAAAAAAACAATAAAAAATAAATGGAGGGAAATTTGAAAAAAAATCAATGAGCCTAAAAATTAATAGCATGTATATCAATATTTTGAAACATAAAATACAAACTAGCATTAGCAAGCCTCCTTATCTTAGAAGCAATGTAAATTATTTTATTTTTATTTTATTTTTATTTATTATGGCTAATGTTCTTTAAAAGAATTATGTATGCAAGCCTCACAAACAACAAAAAAGTTACACAGATTTATCACTCCAGATTTTTAATATCACGATAAAAATATGGATTTATGTTAAACTAAAATGAAAAATATTTCCTGGAAAGAAAAATTTGCAGTAATGTTTAAGTTAATAATTAATTTTAAGCAAATCTTACAGAACGAAGATAAAAGCAAAATCACAATGACTTCTATAGCAAGCTAAAACCTGTATGTTTATTGTGTATACAATTCAAGATTGAAAGAATCTTCATTAACACATTTTTGTTATGCCTTACAGATTTCACTTAATCCAATTTCATGTGTCTTTTGAAAAGATGTTTAGTGGCCTTACAACTTTTATATTCTTTATCATGGCACTTTTCTAAAGCATAAATGGCAGTGAAAAAATGTCTTTCCAAGTGCTTTGTGGTTCATATTTCATAAGTTCTCTTGTTGGTTCAATTTTGAAATGTGCAACATCTGTTTGATAGTTTCACTAATTCTACAAATAGAAATCTATAAATACTTTAGACTTCTAAATTTATGAACACAGTAACAACTTCCATATTTCCAATTTTCTATGGCCTTTGTGAAATCTGTTGGGTTTTTTTAAAGATGATAACTAGTTTTGTGGCCAGACAATACCCATTAAAATAGCTGCAAAAAAACAGTCAAATTTTCCCACTCTTTGTATATTACAGAAAACCAGTCCCAATATATGTCATATTACTCAAACTATAAATCTATTTTGCACCATAATTGCAAGAGTTTGCCTCCTCTTTCTCAGTGAACCATTAGGATTGGTTAATAGAATTAGGCAATTCTTGATGATGGTTGACAATTAGAATGCTCAGCTTTAATTAATTAATTAAACGTTGATATAACCAAAAGAAAAATTTTAAATCAAACTTAAAGAATGATCAGTCTAAATAGTTTAACATTCACAAAAGCCTATTTAAAGATTATGTATTCGCACAAGGAAAATGTGAAATTCATGTGAAGTTTAATCTCTAAGTTTAGACATAAGAATCAGAGAAAACTTGAAGTCTGTTTGTTTAAAAAATATGTTGTTACCCAAAATTTTTGTGCCTTTTTCTTCAGAAGATAAACCTAAAACTTCTAAGTCTTACTTTGTGATTGAATGTGCTCTTTTAGCAAAAGGACTTATATCCTATTATTGATTATCTCAGATATTCTAAATCCATTCCTAATATGTTGGTATACTTGCTTCTCAATGTTGGAGAATACTTTTGTGTTACAAAAAGAACTGTCTTTTAAAAGTATTTCAGTTGGGTATAGATTCATCTTTTCTAAGTTCCTGGAGTCTTAATATAGATTTTTTCGACTCCTCTTTATTCTTATGAGAAATTCCTAAGAGAAAAAGTAGACATAAAATAATACTTTTTAAAAAATTGTTTTAGACGTACAAGACGGCAAGATATAAGAAATGGAGACCCGCTCACTCACTGTTCAGATTTACAACACCATGGTAAGTCACTACTTTTAGCCTGTTAATACCAGGCTACAGTCATAAGCAAATCTATATCTATATCTATCTATCTATATATATATATGTACATATATATATATATATATATATCATGTACATTTGGATTACATACTTAAAGAACTACAGCTGGAAGCTGAGAGCCAGTGTCTCACATCTATAATCCCAGATACCCAGGAGGTTGAGATCTGAGGATCACAGTTCAAAGATGCCTGGGTAACAAAGTTTGTGAGACTCTTATCTCCAATTAAACATCAGAAAAGCTGCAAGTAGAGCTTTGGCCCAAGTGTTAGAGTGCTAGTTTTGAACAACAAAACTCAGAGACAGCACCCAGGTCCTGAGTTCAAGCCAGGTCCTGAGTTCAAGCTCCAGGACTGGCATTAAAAGAAGAAAGAAAGAAAGAAAACAACAAACAAGAAAGCAAGAAAGAAAGGAACAGAAAAGAAAAAAAATACATCTAGAGAAAAGAAAATGTATCTGAACAAAAATACTAAAGAACACAAACCATTAACATACACTTTATGATAACAGGTATGATAAATTTATGACTTTGGATACCAGATTTACAGCTCAAATTTCTTATAGCAAAAAAAAAGCTACAGTTTTTTGTTTGTTTCTTTCTTTCTTGTACTACAAGCAATGAAAAATAAAAGGCAGTAAGGGGACAGACAAGATGGTCAAGAGTATGATATATAAGCAGTTCCAGGCTTACATGGGCTATAAAGAAAGAAGCTGCTAAACAAATAAAAGAACTACTCAGATACTTCCTTGAACTGGGCTGTTTGGACCATATACCTTTCATTTATGAAACATCAAGATCTATATATGTTAAAGTAACTTATTTAATGCTGAAACATCAAGTGCTTTGATTTAAAATGCAGTGCAGTTGTATTGTATGCTTACTCCCCTTCAGCCATTAATAAACACAATAATAATGAAGTTATGCTTCCCTCTGCTGGGCAAATTTATCAATGATGTAGCTAATGAACAATTCAACTAACAATGCTAAGAACAATTCAGTTAACAATGCTAAGAGCAGAAGGTGAACACTATGCATAATTCTCCTATTGACTGTTTTAATACCCTTTCCTTAACTTTTACCTGCTACTAGTGTGTAGAATGTTCATGTTAAGAAAATACTGCCAGCTGGCACCAGTGACTCACACCTCTAATCCTAGATATTCAGGAAGCTGGGATCTGAAGATCCTGTTTCAAAGCCAGTTGGAGCAGAGAAATCTGAGAGACTGTTTATCTCTAATTAACCATGAAAAGACTGGGAGTAAAGCAATGGCTCAGGGACACCCTTGAGAAAAAATCCTATGGGACAGAATCCAGTCCCTGAGTTCTAGCTCCATAACTGGCACCAAAAACAAAAGCAATGAGATACTATCACAAGTAGTACCACCCCAGCTTTCATTCCTAATGGTAAAAAAACACATTTAGTTAACATCCTCTGAATCTGTGTGTTAAGATGAGTGTGTTTGTATCCCACTTGTAATCCTAGCTATTCAGGAGGTGGCTTGAAGCCAGACAAGTTAGGAACGTCTGAAAGATTCTTGTCTCTATTAACCACAAGAAGCCAAAGTGGAGCTATGGTTCAAGTGATAGAATGCTATCCTTGAGTAAAAAGCTCACAGACAGTTCCGAAGCCCTGAGTTCAAGACTTAGGACTGGAAAACACATATGCACAGCATGCATACACACACACACACACACACACACACATAAACAAGCATTGATCATACATCATCATATGGAGAACACTAATGTTTTTGAGAATTAGTAAAGATTGTATGTATATATAATTCTACTAATAACTTCCATTGGTTTAGTAATCCACTCAATACATTCAACTACTATTGCATAGTAACATTTGTGTCCAAAATAGGCATGTCTATATATAAAAATAAAGGAATTCTCTTAAAAGTGAGACACTAGATAAACAGGTTCTTTGATTACTGAATGGGGTCTGAAGAGTATTTCAGATGTTGATGATGTGCTATGGATAAATAAAAAAGGAAATATTTGTGAAAAATGGAATCACAAAACTGTTTAATTATAGACAAAATTTTGTCCTGTCTTTTTTGTTGTTGTTGCTGTTTTGGGGGGCGGGGGTTTGGTTGGTCATAGTGCCTGAGGTCTGGGCCTGGGTGCTGTCCCTCAGCTCTTCAGCTCAAGGCTAGTGCTCTATCACTTATGCCACAGTGCCACTTCTGGTTATTTCTGCTTATTTGGTACTGAGGAATTGAACCCAGGGCTTCATGCATGTATTTGTTGTTTTTTTGTTTTGTTTTGTTTTTTGTTTTTTTTTAACTAGGAATATATAATGAGTGAATGTAGGATATTTTCCTTTTCTTTTTTAGTGAGGAAATGACACAAGTTGTATGCTTATGATAATTGGGAAGGGCAAAGAAGCTAAGAATTTCCACAGAAATAAAACTCCTTTAGTGAAGGCCCGTTTGTTCCTTGTCTACTTGTGTTGTTAATTGGCCAAATAGAAAACACACCCACACCCACAGATTACAGTGAATTTCAAATGTTTAAAAGGTTAGTCAGGCGTCTCACTTTGCCAGGCTAAACTTACCATTCAAATCTTAAAAGAGCTGATGTCAATATTTGAAAGTAAAACAGGCAAAACTCCAGAGCCCAGCCCTGTTAAATCATGGATGTTGTCTTGCTAATGTCACCTCTCACATTTAATAAAATATATGTATTCATATGGAAACAAATAAAGAGATGAGAGTTTTCATGGAAAGCTCCTAAGCAACACAAAGCCAAATTATGCACCTCCGTGTGATCATTTCCAGCTGTAATGGTAAACATATTGTATAACACTCTATATTTAACATATCCTGAGGTTTCAGTAGACTGGTTATATATAAAGCAACTCAGAATTAAGGTGGAAGAAATTCCCCTTTAGATGTAACCTTTAACATTCTCTTGCTACACTTCACTACTTCCTCATATGAAGTAGTAATGGCAGTGAGTCAGTCCTGGTAGAAGAGAAAACCTTTTCCAATTCCCTTTCGTAGGAAAATTCTTTTCTCCATCCCTGCCTGCCAGTTACACAGAAATTTCTTAGACTCAAACCCTAAAAGTGCATGTGTGCTAGCAGATTTTCTCATCCTAATCACACCTCATACAAGAAGCTAAAGGGAAATCTCAGGTTGTTTCCAATCTGTTCCCCTCCCTAAAATGACTGCTTTGGATAAAATTGGAACTTGGCCAAATTTGCATTCAAGAAAATGACTGGCCCACTCAATTTCCCTCCTAAGTATCTCTGATTCCCTCTTGCTTAGAAACCAAAATGAGCTATACTATGATTTATGTGTCCAGAAAGGAAAAGCTACATCATAAGTACCAACATTATTTTAAATCATAACATCATCTTAGCTTTCTGGATCTTTGAAATACTTCATGTTCTATCTTCTACTTTAAAGGCTTCATTGAATTTCACTTCCTAATAGTTTTCTTGGCTATTCTGCATGCTGGCATTTCTCTTTTAGCATCTCACAGTAAAATATTCATAGAAGTCAATCTTCCAAATTGTCTCCACAGCAAGTCCATCTCGATTTATGTCATGGTTGGCATCAAAATAATTCCCAAATTTCATAAAGTATCTTTGGCAGTGCCATCTTTATGGTCCACTAAGCTATAAATTTAGTATTTTGTAGCACTGTTATAATGGCCTGTGTTTTACCCTCTTCCAACTACAAATCTGAGCATTTCACCCAGAGGAACTTTAAGATGTGATGAATGAGCTGATGTCATCCTTAATAAAATCCCCAACTTCAATAAATTACCAAATTTTGTCAAGTCAGAAACGAATATAGAATATAAAATGTCTCAAAATTTTATATGCTGTTAAGCAAGAAAAACTCCCCAGGATGAGTAGTCTAATAAAAGATTGTGGCATGGGGCGAAGAATGAAAATGATTCAGTAGTAGCTAAATGATAAACTTCCATACAAATGAAGATAGTAAGGAACGTTGTCTGCTTTAATAAAAATCATGGGAGAAAGGAAAATGGGGAAAAGCCACTACTTAAAACATAAAGTAGTCCTTAAGAAAGTTTAGTTTTTTAGTTCCCACTACCAGGGTAGACACAAATCTTTAGATAGAAGGTTTAATATACATAGGCATCAGGTTAGTAGTGTCACATATGTGGCAGAAATAAGGAAGAATTCCTTCTGGAAAAAGTAACTTCAACCCAGATCAAGGGAAATTGTGATACCTTTTGATACCAGAGATACTAAAATGTAAATGGCTGGGCATCCTAGAATCCAGTCACTGTCAGTATCAACTGTTATGATTGTCATCAATACTTTTGATGCTCTTCACTGGGGATCAGCAATCATTGTCTTCTGATGTTACCAGAGGCAAACAATCCATTTACACACATTAAATACACACATTAAATATAGTGTATAAACACATGTACATACAAAATTAATAAGAAGGCAGAATTATTTTGCTCTTCTTATTCCTTTTGGAGTTAAATATCTATTATTCCTTTTGGATTTAAATATCTAATCAGCGATCACCTGATTACACACTTAAAAGTTAACTGTTTAAAAAGAAAGGATTTTAAGCTTGCAATGGTTTTCTTTAATTCCTCAAGTTATAAGGATTGCATGCCATTAAAATATATAATGCAGTTTTTATTATTGTTTATGGGAGGATTCTGCTTCAGCAAATGGGTGTTTCTATCTCTTAGGGGAAAAGTAAATAAAATATTAAACTCTGTGTTTCCTGGTCTCTTTTGAAGTAAATGTTTCTATGATAATCTTCCTCTGTTATATATATATAGATAGATAGATAGATATAGATATAGATATAGATAGTTTGTGCTTTGTTTGCTAATCCATTGCTATAAAATCATGAAAATAAAATATTCCATATGCTCCATACAGACAAATATTACATACATACATACATATATATATTGTTGTATGGCTTTGTAAGTAAACAAGCCTCTGTTTG